TGGGGGAAGTTTTCTCAATGCCTCACATGCTGGCCATGAGACAAAGCCCCGCATGGAGGAAACACAAGACCCCTACTGTGCTCACGTGTAAGCCTGGCCTCCTGTAGCGTGGTGCAGGCAACCCCAAAGGGCCCTGAGCCGGGGCAATGACACACACATGGCAAAACTCAGTTCCAAAGTCTGTCCCCGGACACCTTGGGCCAGCGAAGGCCCTGAGCCTGGGGCCATGGCAGTGTTTCTGTCGGGATGAGCAGCCGTGAATCAAAAGCATCTTTTTTTTTTTTTTTTTTTTTTGCATGTTTTGCACATCTGTCTACATTGAGGAGGGACTAGGCTGTTCTGAAATGTCAAGTCGAGAAAATAGGGTGAGAGTTGGCCCTGAGAGAGAATGGTTGGCATCTCCCTGTACCTTCCCACTGCCAGGAGCTAGATGCCAGTGCTGGGGACACTTTGCCTGGGCCCAGATGCCCCGGGTCATGGCCTCTGTCTCTAAACTGCTGCTCAGGGAGGCTGGTCATGAAGGGCATTCTGTGATGGCGGCTGCCCCTTCTGTGGTTCTGGGCCCATCTGCCATGGATGTTTCTGCCTCTTCCTGCCTGGCCCTGTGCTCTTTCTGGGTCAGTGCTGCTCACCAACCCAAGCCTCTTTCATCTGCTGTCCCCTGGACTCTGGTTGAGCCCTTCCTTCCTTCCCTTACCACCTCCTGCAGGTCCAGCTCTGAAACACATGGGCAGGGCCCTCGGACCACCAGCCTCACCAGCCTCTCCAACTTCCTGCCCCGTCTCTGGCCTCCATGTCTCCCTTCCCTGTGCCAGCCTTGCTCAGCTGACCCTGCCCCCACTGCCGCTCTCCAGCTTGCAGCATCAGGGTGCATCCAGCAGCTGTGTACCCTCCTGCACCAGCTCCGTGGGGCTCCACGGTGTATCTCGGTGTAAGGCCACCCACCATCAGCACCCCAGGATATCCACTGCCCCTGAGATATTGCTCCCTCCCTGCAGCAGGGGCAGCACTGCTTTCCTTATGGACACTTTCTGGAACCACAGTCTTCACCCTGACCCCATGGCTGGCTTTAATTTTCAGCCCAGCCCTTGGTGTCATGCAGAGCTATAGCTGGGGCAGGGACTGCTCCTTGCCCTTGGGGGAAAAGGATAATTGATGATTTCTGAACAACATCTGTGCTCTAATGCTGGAACCTGTGATCATATCACCGTCCATGGTGAAAGGGGTGACTTTGGAGATGGGATAAACTTACGGATCTTGAGCTGGGGCCCAGGCAGCCTCCAGAGCTGGCAAAGGTAGGAAAGGACCCCGACTTGGGGCCTCCAGAAGGAAGCAGCCCAGCCACACCTCACCAGCCCACACCTCCCGGCCAGGGCACAAAAGGTTGCACATTTATGTTGTTGAAGCCACTAAGTTTTTGGCAATTTGTGTGACAGCAGCAACAGGCATCTGCTGTGCTGTGTGGCAGGCTGTGCAAGGGCAGCCCCTTCTGGTCTCTGCCCTCCTGGCACCCAGAAGAGCACTGAGCAAGTGTGTGGGTACTCACAGTGTGTGAACGAATGAGCCCAGAAATGCAAATTATCTCGACCAGGGACTCAGCCAGCCAGCAGCAGAGGACTTCTGGCAGCAAGTTTTTCAGAAAGTTTTGTGACTGGTTCTCATTAATCTGGGCTTGGAGAAGACCCTGAGCCAGGCCGGCTGAGGAGGTGGTGCCAAGGGTTGGGCAGCCCTACCCTAAGCAGCTTTTGTGCAGTGGCTCAGCTTTGGACCCTTCCCAGTAGGTCCTGCCTGGCAGTCAGGGGGTTGGAACTGGGGCCCAGGAGATGCACCCCACTCAGCTATTGTTTCCAAGTTTACAACTTGCTGCTGGTGGCAAACTTTTCACTAAAACACACAGATGGTCCCTCTAATGACAAAATTCTCACACGGCTACAAAAACAGACACAATCATCTGTTTCCCAACATTCTGAAAAAAAGTACACAGAGGTGTAAGGTGCCACACAAATGAGAATAATTAGCTCATGCCATCTGTGGGGGAAAGGAACAAAACGCGGACCCCTGCTACCTCTCCCGTTGCTGTTCGGGTGGCCCTGGGCGACACGGAGCAGCACCACCAGGATGAATGCCTCCATTTGCCGGTGTGCTCTGCTCTTGGTGACCTAGGGTGCCCCACAGCCTGCTGGCTCCTCCCAGTTCCCTGTGATTAGTGACAATAAAAAATTGCCACTGAGAATCAGTCTGACTTCCAGACAGCGCCCCCCTGCTAAGCTGTGCCCAGCAAAGCCCCAGAAGTGGCCAGCTGCACCCTCCAGGGCCTGGGCACAATGGGCACGGTCAGCCAGCTTGTCTCCTTGCCCATTTGCTGGGATGGTGTGATGCTGGCTGGTGGTGGCTGCCCGAGCGCCAAGTTTCAGCAGGCAGGAGCCCAGCCAGCCAGCCCGGCGCACAGCCTGCCCGGGAGGATCTGCCTCTGTCTCCCCACACCTGGCCGCTGCGTGAGTGAGCAGGACGAGGCCCTGGCGGTACTTCGCTGTGAGCCCCCGGAGGCCCGCTCTCAAGTCCTGGACATCTTGTCCTGACCACTGACTGGCAGCTTGCGGCGGCACCATGCATGAACCTCATTGTGGCCCTCCACAGCACGGAGCGGTGGGGCTGGGCAGAGCCGGTTTCCAGGAGGTGGCTTCCCTGTGCCAGGCATGGGGGACAGAGGGGACAGGAGACCCAGGCTGTGCAGGGCAGGGGTACTGGGGCTCGAGGTGCAGAGCCAGCATGGAGGTACAGGGCTGTGTGTCCAGGTGCTGCACAGAAACCATGGGGGCCGGTTCAGGCTCTCAAAGGGCCCCGACTGTGCTGGGGGAGGGATGCTGCCACCACGCTGGGCAGGATGACAGAGGTTCCAAGCCGGGTGGTTCTCTGGTCTCACCAGAGGCAGAGGGGTAGCAGGGGAGTGGACAGCACAGCCCAGGGTAGTGGGGTGGCAGGCATCTGCCTGGGGGTAAAAATCCATACCCCACCGGCTCAGTTGGGGACTCAAGAGGAGAGGCCAGCTACAGGGCTGCTGAGTACCCTTTCGGGCCTGGGCGTGCGTGTACACACGCGCACACACACAGACACACACATGTGCGTGCAGGCTGAGCTCAGCCAGGCCAGGAACCTCGGGGCAGAGTTGGTGTTGGCACCGTCATCCTTCCTGGCACCACAGTAGAGGCAAACACCTCCGTGTCCCAAGCCCACTGTGAGGGCACAGGAAGAGCAGAGGAGCGAGGGGAGGGGAACCCGGAGGAGGGAGGGCAGAGGACTCGGTGTGCCCAGGACCCTGCTGCTGGTGTCAGGTGACAGCACCCGCGGGACACTGGCCCAGCATCTTGAGCCCTCCTCGCATGCTCTTCTGCCCCGCTTCGGCCTGTGCCAGCTCTCAGAGCCGACAGGGTCACCCCAGAGTCGGGACCAGGCTGCCCTCCCCAGGGACCAGGAGCCGCAGGGCAGCCTTGCGTCTCCAGCGTGCTCTGGCTTTGGCTGTGTCCACGATGTGGGAGGACAGACATGGCTATCGCCAGAGCTGGGTCAGTGAGGGGCAGTGAGGGGAGCCCCAGGGACTTGGCTTCCCCCACACCCCGCAACAAAACCAAGGTCGACTTCTCGTCAGTGCTTTGGTCTCCCACCAAGTCCTTCTGAGACCACCTCCTCAGCCAGGCACCACATTCCATAATGCAGAGACCACCTGATTCTCCAGCGTTTTAAAATCAAATGCCAGCCCCCGACAGATCAAACAAATCTTTGGGTTTCAGTGTTTATCCATCAAAAGCAATCACTCCTGGGGGAAACAGAACCCCCAAACTATCAGCCACTTACATTTCAGTGAGAATTCATTTCCATGATCACAGACCAGCGTTGCATCCCTACTATGCATAGCCCAGTATTCCAGCTAAGGTTTCTACTCCATACATTTCATTTCACTGTATTTGCCTTTCCTCCAGACTCAGCTTACTCTTAATTACGTGTTGAACCCCGAGTCCTCCACCCAGGAGAGCCAGGGCAGAGTCTGGGTTTACTCACTTGCTGGGCACACACAGTGCCTCGGGGACAGAGGTAGAAACAGTAAGGAGCAGAGGAGACCAGCTCTGGAGGAGCGGAGAGCCAGGCGCAGGGAGGAAGGAAGGCGCTCCAGAAGCCCTGGGCCCCAGGCAGGCAGGGAAGGCAGGGCACGTAGCGCACACAGGGCACAGACACACGAACCACACTGCCTCACCCTGCGGCAGGAGGAGGGAGCCCCGCCCCTGCCGAGGCTCAAGGCCGGCCCGGGCACGGGGGTGAGGGGCAGCTTCTGCCCCAAGGCTGCAGAGGAGCGAGTGGGAGTCCTCAGCGCCCGTCCAGCGGCTCAGCCTCCTCCAGCAGCAGCGGTGAAGGAGTGTGGCGTGGGTGTGAGTGCAGACAGGGAGGGGACGGGTGGGGTTGCAGGGGGCACCCTGGGACCAGGCCGGGATCCCGGAATTGGGTGCCGGCCAATGGGCTTCCGACTCCCAGCCTCCTCTGCAAACCACAGGCACATCCTGAAGGCGGGAGGTGGGGGTCTGTCTCTCGGATCGCTTCCCAGCACACCCGTCATGACAACTGGGGAGCCCTGAGCTCCCCCACAAGGCAGAAACAGCAACCTGAAACCTTCAGATGGAGCCAGGCCATCCCCCCACCCCGGCGGACACTCAGGCGAGGCCCCAGGGCCCATGTCCAGGGGCAGCAGTGGCCACAGTGCTCCCCAGGGACCCCTGATCTCGCCCCAGGGAGAGGCGCTGTGGGCGCAGGCTCTGGACCCGCAGGCCTCTTGCCCACGGTGACTGCCAGCTGCACGCCGCTGGGTGCAGCCCCACAGGCACGTGCTTTGGTTGTCCCTTGGGTAACTGAGGAGACACCTTCTGCGACACCCAGCTCAGCAGGAGGTGCAGCTGGTTATAGACCTGGTAGAGTTGTACTTCCCACTCTGGAGCAAGAGCCGGAGTCCCTACCTGCTTCCGTGTGCGATGGGTTTATTTTCATTTGTCCTTGAAGTGTTCCTTCTCACGCGGTTCACAGGCACGTGCTTTGGTTGTCCCTTGGGTAACTGAGGAGACACCTTCTGCGACACCCAGCTCAGCAGGAGGTGCAGCTGGTTATAGACCTGGTAGAGTTGTACTTCCCACTCTGGAGCAAGAGCCGGAGTCCCTACCTGCTTCCGTGTGCGATGGGTTTATTTTCATTTGTCCTTGAAGTGTTCCTTCTCACGCGGTTATGTTTTCACACCCACCAGGCGGTGCGGAGTGTGCAGAGGGTGAGGGGGTACGTGCTTTGGTTGTCCCTTGGGTAACTGAGGAGACACCTTCTGCGACACCCAGCTCAGCAGGAGGTGCAGCTGGTTATAGACCTGGTAGAGTTGTACTTCCCACTCTGGAGCAAGAGCCGGAGTCCCTACCTGCTTCCGTGTGCGATGGGTTTATTTTCATTTGTCCTTGAAGTGTTCCTTCTCACGCGGTTATGTTTTCACACCCACCAGGCGGTGCGGAGTGTGCAGAGCAGGTGAGGGGGTTCTCTGTGGGGTGCGGGACTTTGCCGCTGTGCCTTGACGATGCCAGGAAGAACGCAGGCCACCCAGGTCCTGGGTTTAGGACTGGGAAAGGCCAGGCTCCCACAGTGGCGGCCGGCCGGACAGCGCGAACTGGCTCTTTCCTCACCCCGCGCCGTCTGAAGCTTGCTCTGGTGCAGCCCTGTGCCCCAGCCTCTGGGGATCAGATGAGAAGCTAAACCAAGTCTGTGCCCAGGATGGCAGCAGAGTCTGGGGCCTCTGAAAGCGCAGGGACCCCACCGCCCCCAGGGCTGTGTCTAGCCCCAGCCAGGCTGCACCTCGGCTGGTGCTGGTGAGGTTTAATGTGAACACCTGCGCTGAAGGTCCTCGGATTTCACTGCACGCAGACCCTCGCCGTTTATTCCAGGTGCACCCAGTCCTCCTGCCGGCCTGCGCAGCTGCTCCTAGGGAACCACAAGCAAGCACCACGTTTGTGGGACTCAGCCCAGGTGCTTCCCGAATGTCAGGAGCCAGCGCAGTGTGTGGAGCATGGGCACCCTGTGCCTGTGAACCAGGGTCCTCTGCTCAGAGAAACCCAGCAGACCTGCAGCCTGCCCTGTAGCTAAACTCTGTTCTGGAAGAATTTCCACTGGCCCTGGCCTGCCTGGTGTCCTGCTTGTTTAAATGGCCCCCAAATGTCACTGTGCAGAGCATGCGTCTCCCACACGTGAGGCCGCTGCCATTTCTTTCAACTGTCAGGGCCTCGAGGCGGCAGCCAGGGCAGCTGAGAGTCTGTGGGTCCCCGCTGTCCCCCTGTGCCCTCGCAAGCCCCCTGTAATCAACGTGTCACCCCAGGCAGCTGCTTGCCCTAAGATGTTGCTCAAGGCCAAGCTCCGCAGACTTCGGTGGGCTTGCTCGAGAGCCACGCAGATGGATCTGTCAGCCTCACTCTAGCCGAGCAAGCAACGCCTGCCTCCCCTCCGCCAGCCCCGGGATCCATGTCCACGTCTGTGTCGTGTGTGGGAGCGAAGTAGCGTGGGTGGCTGCTCTCTGCCTGGAGGGGAGAAGCAGGAAGCTCAAGCTTGCCTGGGCCACTGAGCCAGTGCTCCTCAGAGAAATGCACACCATTCGGGGAAGGACACCATGTGCAATGAAGACACCGGAGCCTGCACCTCGCACCCGGGAATCTTGACACAACTGGGCTTTGACTTGACCTCGGAGATGCATTTTATCGTCGTTGACATAAATGTGCAGAAGAGCCCAGCCAGCCCTGTGCAAAAGGAAAAGGAGCCTTTGGGCTGCTCTGCAGGGCCCAGCAAAGGTCAGGGCTTCTCTGGCTCCGGCATCTCTCCGGAGAGGAAGCAGTTTGCTGTCTGGTGTGTCTGTGCAGCGGCGCCCGCCCGGGTGCCAGCAAAGCCGAAGTGAGTCACAGCTGCTGCCTGCACAGCGTCGGCCCTGGCATCTAGGGTCTGAAGAGACCCTGTCAGGGTGGCCCCAGAGTGTGAGGTCACTGTGCACCCTGCCCTGCATGCCACACCACACACTCACGCAGGTAGGTGGCCAAGACCCTGCCCACACTGTGCCCTGCTGCTCACTGAGTCGTGGTCTGAGAAGCTACAGCTACGCAGTGGTGGGAGCCTTCAGGAGCTGCAGGCAAATGTGTCCCCTGCTCCAAAGGAGGCACTGAAGCGGGGTAGGTGCAGGGGCCGAGTGGAGGAGGCCCAGGAGTGAACAGGCCTCGAGGTCCCTGAAACCTGGGGCCCAGCTGGCATTAGTGCCTCAGGATGGGTGAAGACTGATCCAGCGGCGGTGTGGCCATGACTGTCCCATTGGGCGGCAGGGAGCTGGAGCAGTTCTGCTGAGTGCTGTCCAATGGGACAGTCACTTGTACTATGGTGGTTCAAGCTGGTGGAAGGTGCTAGTCATAGCTGGGTCTTCTGGGCCAGGCTCTCAGAATTCACCAACAGCAGGTCCCAGTCTGGATCGCAGACTCTCCTGGGGACATTGGCAGTGTCTCATCTGGTACAGCTGAGTTTGTGTCCTGGCCTTCGGGTGGGTGCAGGTCAGGGTGGGGTGGGGCCTCCGCAACCTCCCAGGCAGCGCCCATGACCAACAGCAGCACTCCCGTGACTGCACGTGCCAAGACCGGGAAATCCCAGTGCAGACGAGAGATCAGGGGTTGCTTATTTCTCATTTAAAAAGCTGTATTTTCAGCTCATCTCAAAAATTCAGAACACTGTAGACACAGACCCTCTTTATGCAGTCAGCATGGGGAGGTGGGATGTAATGACCTCAGCTCCTTAGATGGCACCCATCGCCCTGCTGCCTCCCCAAGGCTGACACCCCACACACTCACTCATGGGGTGCCCGGCCTGCTCAGCCATTCAGAACAGTTGGTCTTTTCTGCAAGCAAAGAGGACACAGCTCTGACCTGGGAAGTGGCTGCAGGGCTACTGGCCTTCCCATCATGGTGTCTCCCCTCCCCGAGGACACTCCTGGCCCCACAGGGAAGGCCCCTGACCGGCACCCGCAGCGGCAGTGACTCCACCACACCCTGCCTGCTCCTGCTTGTTCAACCTTTCTCTTTTATTGGAAAAGTCTAATTGGGAGCTCTGAAAGGTCACAATTAATATTTCCAAGTGAAAAATACAAGGTAAAGCGGCTCTGGGTAAATATCGTTAAAATCCAGTGTGCTTAAAATGAAAATGAAAAGAACAAGATTGGGGGCGGTGAGGTGGGCCCGAGTGAGGTTGGGCACGCACTTAGTCCCACCCCTGCACCAGGAGCATCCCAGGGCTCACATGAGCCCTGAGCAGTGCTCTGGGGCCAGCTCCATGGCTGCACAATCTGGTTCTTTGTGTGGACTCTTGCGGCTCTGGGTGTGGCCTTCCCCACTGGACAAGCACACACAAGGCCACCCCTGCTAGCCCGGTGGTCTTCCCCCTCCATGGGCACTGATATTATCCTTTTCTCATGGCCCTTCCTGGCCCTTTCCTTTTGGTTATATGTCCTCAGATAGGGACGGAGAGCCAGGGGCCCTGGGGTCCCTGCACACAGAGTGTCCCTTGGCATAAGTCTGAGCACAGTACACATGGACGGAAAGAGTGGCGCCAGCGCTCAGCTTGTTCTGGGCCCCTCTGGTCATTGGCGAGGGCTTGGCTGTGTTTGGAGCACTCGGCAGGCCCCGGTGGCTCCAAAAGCCCTGTTCTTCCTGGATCCTTTCAGCAGTGGGAGATGATGCTTTTTCTGTTTGCTGCTCTGCCACAGCGCGCAGAGCGCTATGCAGAGAGGCTGCCTGAGAGCGACCCAGAGCTGTAGCACAAGAGCACTTTCTCGGCAGGATGCCCCTGCACTGTAAACAGGCTCTCAGGGGCACCGTGCCCCATCTGTTTTTGGGAAGGTGACAGATATTGATCAAGAACTCTAAATTTTAGTCAGGATGCAGATTAATTGCAAAATGCTTCCAAATACTTTGGGAAAAAATTAACATGATAGACTAGACATAAATACCCCATGCGTTTCCTGTGGGTGACATTGCCCATAATTGGATTTTCAGAACATTTTTTTTTTGAATCTGTAGTTTAGGTACAATTGTGTGTGTGTGTGTGTGTGTGTGTGTGTGTGTGTGTGTGATTTCTGAGGTGGGTACACGGATAAATAAAAAAAATATAATTACAAGAAGCTATTTTGCTTTGCCTTCACTTTGATGGCTCTGAATCAAGGTTGTAGGCTCAACTTTCACGTACTGCAGAATAATTAATTGCATGAGTGGAATACCCCCCAGGACCAGCAGCAGCGCAGAAAGTGCAAGAAGGAGAGCAGGCTTTCCTTTGCAGGGCCAACATCCGTGGGGCTTTGTTTGGGGGATCCTGGAGGACAAAGGGACCCTGCTGCGCTGTTCCTGCCTCACTGAATCCTGAGCCACCCTTGCCTGGCTCCCTGGTCATCAGCACGGTCCATACTACTTAGAGCATGCTCATGCCTGGGCCTTGCTGGCTCTAATCTACAGGGATTGCTGAGGGTAACCGTGGGGCCACCCCACACTGCACATCCTTCACAGGTCCACTCAGCACAGGGCTTCGCAGCAAGGATGAAGGGACAGACGTCAGAAGAAAGACACTTCGTTCTATGTCTGCTGTCTAGTAGAACTCGCTGTGTTTTGGTGGGGAGCGGATTCGTCCAGCCCTCCCTGTCACCGGGGCCCCTGCCTCAGGCTGCCAGGGTCCCGCTGACTTGTTTCAGGAGGTGCTTCCTCTGCCTGAGCACCTGCACCTGTGGGGTAAAAATGGACTGCAGCCCAGAAAAGCAGTTCTCTGGGCTGGGGGACTTGCCTTCTGACTTCACCTGGATGCCCCTGATCTGCAGGCCTCCCTTGCTGGCTCCACTGGCCTCTTCAGGGGCAGCCCCGAGCCCAGGTCCCGCTTGTGTCTGCTCCGTCTTGTCCCTGCTTTGTCTCAGTCCTAGCCCTTTGCCCCGGCTGCTGTTAAACCTGGGCTCCTGGTCACATTCCCTCACTGTCCCTGCGCAG